CCCCCCCGCCGCAAGTCGACGGCTTGGGAGGCGCCGGCGGCGGAATAGTTGGTCTCAGTAAATGGGCACCTAACGATGGATCGAGATTCGTCATAGCGGTCCGTGGAGAGGACTGGTCGAACCTGAACATGGAGGAGCGGCTCAGATGAACCGGGTGAGGAATCGTTGGGGTGTAGGGTGTAGTATACGCACTCTAGTTGGCGGAGTTGGTGGTGTTGTTGGCGGTTGGTGAGGATGAGGAGGTGGTGGTCGGGGAAGATGATACGGTGTTGGAGGGTGTAGGAGGATGTGGTGGATTGCAGAGGGTCAAGAACGGAGTGGCTTGCGGAGGAGTAGAGGAGTGAGAGGGTGGAGGCTGTGAGAGAGGGTCTGAAGGTGGAGGGCGAGAAGAAATGATGGTAGGAAGAGAGGAAGAAGATGAAGATTAAAAAGGAGAAGCAAAGAAAAAGTGATCTTGATGAGATGTGGAGGTGCCTTGCCACCACACGCTTCCTCTTCCGCCGTTGCTCTGGTTCCATCTTTGGTTTGAATGGATGGTTGAAGCTTGGAAGATGTATAAGAAGATGGTGATTGGGTTGGGGAGGGCGGTGTTGAAGAATGAAGAATGAAGAATGAAGAATGAAGATGAAGAAAGAATCAGAAGAACGCGTTGGATTTGGAAATAGAAAAGAATAGAAAAGAAAAGCAAGAAGAAAGAAGGTGCGCTCCAATGGAATAATGTAAAATTACTCCTACTATCTACTAACCAGTAACTCCTAAATTGAGGGAGGGACTTAAAGGTCCAAAACAAAACTACTGAATTGAACTGGACTGGAGAGATTCTGGTTGGATTTGGACTGTGACGAGAATAAATTGGATTACGATTATGCGTTGCATGATTGTTTTGCATTTACTATAACTATTAATTACGCTCATTATAGCGCGTGAACCCAATGCGGTACATTATGTTATGCCTACTCTTTCTCCTTTTTTTAATTATTTTTTTTTATTTGATTCAATCTATTTCGTTATCATTATAAACAAATTAAAAAATATATTTATAGGTTAAGATGATACATGTTTATTATAAACCCACATAACATGTCTCAATGTTTCACAAGTATTTAATTTGGTTCTAAATAATTATTATTTTCTACTTAATCAATTTTGATCACTCGATGGTCGTAGTGTAAATATTGACTAGTTGAGGTGCAAATCTTGACTAATCATAATGCAAATTTCAATTGGTCATGGTGCACATTCTAGTATTGTTCTTGGTTGATAGTGGTGCAAATCTGTGTCAATTTCAATTAGTGGAGGCATAATGTTTTACTCATTATAATGTGAATCTTGATCGATCATGATGCACATCCTAATGCCAATCTTGAATTAGCAACATAATAAATAAAAATAAGTAATTAATTTTAATCACGTGAATAAACAAATAATAAGTGGTAACTAAATTTTATTGTGTACCTACAATATTTTGAATTTGAATTCTCTTGAATGATTTTACTTATATAAATAAAATTTGTAGACACATTTTTTATTTATTAATTATTGATGATAATAATATTAATAATAATAATAATAATAATAATAATAATGTCATAATTGTTAAATGAGTTTATTTGTTACCTTTATAACAAAATACAAAATTTGAATTAGGGTTAGCTAGTTGGATCAATATCAAAATTTTAGGGTTTAAGATTTATCAAAATTCGAAGAATATGAACTAATCCAAATTGAAAATTTTATATTGGTTTATATTATTGGCTTATATGAGATTGAAAAAAAAATGTAAATTAGATTATGAATTTGGTGGTCAAAAATCTAATTTAATCCTATTATTTATATATTTGTTGTATTTTTATATATTTTTACAAGAGTTTAGATTTTACCAATAAAAAAGTTTTAGAATTTGGACTAAACCACTTAACTTTTCTCTCATTCTTAATATTATAGCACTTTAGTTGTCACCATACAATTCTACACTGTATTTGGTAAAAGATAATCGAAGTGGAGGGAATGGATGTGAAATGAAAAGAGAATCAATAAACTATACTGTATTTGGTAAAAAGATAATAGAAGCGGAGGGAATGGATGTGAAATGAAAAAGAGAATCAGTAAATGAGAAATAAGTGGAATTGAGATTGTTTGATATGAGAGAAATACAAGAGAATTGGAGGGAAGATTAATTTTTTTATTGATTTATATTAGATTAAACAAAAAAAATTAAAATGATATTATAAATTAATTTACAAATAAAAAAGCAGAGGGTAACCTACACTTACTTTTTTTTTTATTAGATTAAGTTAGCAAATTGCATCCAACTGCATTTTAAAAAAAAAAGTTAGTTATAGTTTCCTAACTTGCTCTAACTAAAATAAGTGGGTGTAAATTTCCCTGACACTTATTAACATACTCATACTTATATTTTAAATGAACTTAATAAACTACACTTAAACATATTTTAGTATTGTTTTAATTATAACTTGTTAATTTAAACCAACTAAATTTTAAAAAATTAATTTAATTATATTTTTGCGGTCATCATGAGCCATAATTGTAAACCTGTTGAAGCTAAGTTTTAAAGAAGAATGTACGGGAAAAAAATTATTTAAAAAATTGCTTATAATAAAAATTAGTAACCCACACATCAAGATTTATGAAATGGCTTTTCAAAAAAAAATTATGAAAAGTCAACAAGAGAGTTCTTTTAATTATTTTACAAGACAAAGTTCTAACACTCGTTATTTAAGAAAACTAATGCAATTAAAATAGTTGAATACAAGCACACACGATAGTCTTTCTTTTGTGGATTTTGAAAGACCCCCATTCATACAATGCGTTGGCTAATACAATCCATGAGACATTGAGAGTCAATGTTTGAAAATGGCAAGTGCCAACTAGTTTGTAGTTGTTTCCCCCCTCAACATGCTTAATCTTTGTGAATTTAATTTTTATAATAATTATCTTAAAAATAAGTTTAAATAATTTTTATTTGTCGATAATAAAAAAGAAAAAAATCCATTAATAGAGCATGAAAGATAAAAACAATCTTTATTACTTCCCAAAATTAATTTTCAAGAAGTTTAATGGTTTTTATGTAAGTTTAATCTTTCAGTTTGTATAAAAATATCTCCAAAATATAATCATGGGTTAATTTTGTTCAAAATGTAGAGAATATCGAAATATATTTTTGTTTCTTCAAACAAATATTATGCTATAGAATTGTGAAAAATTGAACTCCTAATATTAACATGTCTAATGATATTTTTCATTAACACTGTAAGCCCTCATAAAATCATTGAAAAGGGGGTGATAATACAATAAAATTTCTGGACATTATTTTATTTCGATAATTATTTTATTATAATTTATTAAAAAATTTCCATACGTGATTTTTAGGGGTGAGCATTAAACCGACACCCGAACCGAATCCGAAAAACCCGATAAAAAATATTGTTTTTGGGCGGGTTCGGGCGGGTCTTATGGGTAAATCGGGTTAAAATTTTGATTTTATACGGGTTATATTGGGCGGGTTCGGTTTTGAATTTTTAAACCCGCCAAAAACCGAACCCAACCGAAAATGAGATAAGTTTAAATTTTTATTACTTTTGTATAACTAAACAACAATGGTCCAAATTTAAAAGTCTTTATTTCAAGTATAATATAGCCATCAATTTGTAACTTATTTTTTTCCTTTTTCTCATAACTTAGATATTTATTTTGTCTTCTCCTTCCTCATTCAACTTCTCAACACACTAGTCCATTTTTAGAGTTATCTTTTTGCTTCTTTCTTTGTCTTTCTTTTCCATCTTCTTATCTCCATTTTGAGTACATTTTGTGTGACTGTGATTTCTTATGATTTTGTAATCTAACTTTATATTTCTTTTCCATGTAACAACTATGAATTTTGTTATCTTTTATTTTTGCTTCTTTAGTTTGTAAATGTTTCAACTACGAATCTACTTACACCATCTATTGTCACCTTCATTCTATTTTTATACACTATTTTAAAAATATTTTTTATCGTTTTAAGCTTCATTTTCCTTAAGATAAATTGGTTTACAAAAAAATTCAAACCCGATTATACCCACCCGCTTAAATCCGAATCTGTTTCAACCCGAACCGCCTCAAATCGAAAGCTCGGTCGATCGGATATGAGTCACATTTTTTCAAAGTCGGTTTACAATAGATTGGACATTTTTCACCCGAACCCGACCAAACCCACCCGTTGCTCACCCCTAGTGATTTTACAAACACAGATCTAGTCAATGAAGTGGACTTCAAATGGCTCCGTACCTAATTAAAACACGTTTTGGCTTTAAAGTTTCTCTTTACAAGATGCAAGATCGTTTCAATATTTTTTTATTATAATATATTTAAATTCCACTCATAATTAACATTATTAGGTGCATGCCTAATTTCTTTACCCTTTTTTTTAATTTCTAGAAGAAGAAGGCAAAGATTATTTGATCATATAATTCGGATATTTGCTCCCTTTACTTCTTCATAAAATGTAACTCATGATAAACGAAATATATAAATCAAATGAGAACATCCCTTGCTTACCATAAAATTTGATTACACTAGATGCCTTATTTATGCAAAATATGTCCAACTTGTTCCAACAAATACCCAAAAATAGGTGGCTTATGTCCTCTCCAACCAATTATTGCTTGGTAGCGCCGATATATCATATATGTGACACGTTAATTTTGTCTTTTTCTCGTTCCACCAAGAGAACTACAATTTGGTTTGGTAATATGATTTTTAAAGAATGCAACCAAAATTGAATGGACAATACGATAGGGACAAACTTTCTTTAGGTAATCTGGTTCTTCCTTTTGCTAGGTAATTTGTCCACATGTGATAGTCACTTATTGTTTCTTTTCCTATTGCCAGATAAGGAACAGAGTTATGACAGATTCTCTGAAAATGGATAAAGCATCGGGCAGCAAATTCGTTCCCTTGTTCTCAAGCATTGCAAACTTTTTGCCCTCAACAACATATAAAAACATGATCAACCCATCTCAATTTTACTGTTACAATCTTGCCAAACCTAACTTGTGATCTAGTTAAAGCAGATGAAATGAAAAAGTTAGGTCGATCGTTAGTTATAAATTTGCTATTTCCTCACTTGTATATATGTAAGTTACATGCTTAGCTTCAAGTAAATACTTTTTTTTGTTTTTATTTTTAAGAAGTGCATGTGAGATTTTACAAGTCAATTTTATTAAATAAAGTTAGGTCTATAATTTCCTTTCTTAAAATGATATTAAAGCATGTCTTAACGATTATTAATTATTGTTGGACTTATCATATTATCTGTTATTAAATCATTATTAGAGATTGCTTATAAAAGTCTATTCTTACAAACCTTACGCTTGAGATGTTTAATCTTTAACGTAAAAGATGTATTAGAGATTCTACATTAATTAATGATATTGTAATAATATACATAAGTGAATAACAATATTCGTCTTACAAATTTGATTCGTAAAGTTAAATTCTAACTACTCTTTAAAATGTCATCAAAATTATCTCATATCTCTTAAAAAGATCATTCACTATTTATACACGTATAAAGTCTAATAACATTGCATGTGAAAAGGTGAATTTTGAAAGAAAAAAAAAACTCAAAACTCCCCAATCTTGAATCATTAAAAAAAATTATTTACTATTTATCCACCTCAATAATAATATAAAAAATATATATAAAAATTCAAATTTTACATTAATTAAAAATAAAATACTACAAGCAGATTAAATTAGACTCGAGCTCATGTCATAAGAAATTACCATGAATATACTCTTATATATTTCTATCCAATTGATGCTATTACATCT